CTTGTATCGATTTTTCCTTGAAAATTCCAGAATATCACAATATTTCAACCTCTAGAGTGGCGTTTTAGAATAGTATATTACGTAATAAGTGTTGTAAAAAGCATTTTACGCACGAATGGAAAAGTTACGCACGACGCCGCGTAGCGGCGAGTGCGTAATTCTATGAGTGCGTAATTGTATTACACCACGTATTACGTACTATACTTTACCTACGACCACTATTGTAAATACTTAAAAACACACTGTCTGCGATCAATGTAAGATTCCTATTTTACGTACGGTAAAAAAATCGCACAGCTTGGTAAAACAATCGTACAGTTTTCCTAGCAACCGCCTAGCAACGTTCAATACAAACAGTATTGTATTGACCGTTGCTAGGCGGTTGCTAGGAAATTTGTGCGATTTTTTTACCAAGCTGTGCGATTTTTTTACCGTACGTAAAATAGGAATCTTACATTGATCGCAGACGGTGTGTTTTTAAGTATTTACAGTAGTGGTCGTAGGTAAAAATTTTAACGAGCTACCACTGCGTTGTATAAATCACATAATAAAAATTCACAAGTAACCTTTACCTGTTATGTTTGATAATAATTTTTAGATTTACTGTTGTACCTGTACCTCTGGTAAAATTTCGCCACATAAGGGTGATTTCACTTTAAATACAGAAACTGCAGGAATAGATTAGTTGCCGTGTCATATGTCATATCTTCATACTGCGCTTAACGATTTGAATGAAACTTATTGCAGCGTATTCACTTAATAAAACCTTTTATCGAAAGTAAGATTTACCTCGTGGCATTAACCAGTGGCGTGCTACTGAAGATACCGCTTCGTTTTCCCAAGAAAAAAATACACCACCGGCAGTGTTTTGTAGAAAGAATATTACATTCAGATACCGTTACGTTAAATGAATGAAAAGTGTTTCTTGGTGTTTTTTGATAGTAGCAACCGTTTATGAGATAATTTATTTATTTGCCGTCCATAATGCGCACATACTCATATTTGTCTTAAAAACCCATCTGCAAAAATTTATTTTTTTGACTGCATTATCAGTTAGTAGGCTTTATGATGATCTCTCTTCAGTATTATAACTAGCTTTGTTTATTTATTCCTGAAGCTGCAGTCCTTGGCTTATGAACAGGAGACGAATTGAGGCAAAGAATAGAGAAAAGTGTAATCTCCTCAGGGAAAATCATATCAAGTTCCTCCATAAATAGCCTAATTATGAGATGTCAAAAGTGTATCGACGCGGAAGGACTTCATTTTGAACAATTTTTGTAGTACTCGTTACTTAATTACTTACTCGACCTATTTGCTAATGTTACTTTATTATGTAGTTAGATATTTTTTCCAGAAATAAAATTATTTCTACAAAAAACCGCCAGTGGCGCATTCTTTTCTTGGGAAAAGTTGGCGGACGCTTTAATAGCACATTACTGGTTAAAAGTAGAAGGATTTCATCAAATAAACGGATTAATTTATTAGGAAAATTCAATAAAACGTAAAAACAAGCCCAAATACACTAGCGGAAAAAATTAAGGGATCAAAAAAAATCTAAATATTCGGCGATTTTTCAAATGGCTGTATCTTTGATAAAAATGGTCGTATTGGAGTAAAAAAAAGCAGTTTGAAGCTTGAAGTTTCTAATTTTTGGATCTTGCAAAAAAAAATTTTTCAAGGAACACGTATCGCGCAATCTTAATGAATATCATGAACAAAAATTTTTGGAAATTTTTTTGATCTTATTTTTGGTGTACGGACTTGAAAAAAAATTTTTTCCAACTTTAACCACCTTATGGATTAGATAGGTTGTTCATTTAGCTTCAATTTCTTTTTTTTTATCTCGATACGACCATTTCTCGCTGAGCTATCGGACTTTGAATGAAAATGGATCATTTTCTCTTTGTTCATCGATATCTCAGAAACCAATGGTTGCACAGAAAATCGACGGTGGGTTTCAGAAACTTGAATGAATTCTCTACAAGGTCGTGGCACGGTTTTTTAGAAAAAAAAAATTTGTTATCCTTAAAATGACTGAAAATTCGTAAAAAATAGGACTTCTAGAAAATCACGTGACACATTGAGAATATTGGGAAAATGACTAACGTTAAGTGTCTCTTTTACAGGTCATTGTACCCCTAAAAGCCCTCATTTAAATGCTCATAATCTGTAAAAAAATGAATGAATTTTTCCTGATTTTTTTTTTACATTCTAAATGCAGAAAGCGTTTGAAATTATGAAAAAAAATATTTTTTTTTTTAATTTTTTTGAACCGATTTTCTCAAATTTCGCAAAACCGCCGGCATTAGCGTTACCCAAAGCGTACCACGTGGAGGTTGCACGGTCGGATTTACGCTTCTTTTACACACGTGCGAAAAGCGTTTGAAGCTATGACAAAAAATTTTTTTTTTTTTAATTTTTTTGAAAAATTTTTTTGTTGGATTGTCTCCAGAAAATTTATCTCAGTAATCCCCTAGCATTTTCGACTCGATTCTCCTACTTCATTTCGTGGTTATGCTGACCGGATTTTAATTAAATTTAAAAAAGTTGATACCCCTAACCGAATATTGACCTCGATTTACACCCTTTTCAGAGATTATTGCTGCGATACTTCTGAATTCATAAAACGCTTTTTCCGAATTTATAGAACACTAAAACAAAGTTTTTTTCAAACCACCCTTTTTTCAGTAGAAAAAATATTTAAAAAAAAAAAATTTTTTTTTGTCATAACTTCAAACGCTTTTCGCACGTGTGTAAAAGAAGCGTAAATCCGACCGTGCAACGTCCACGTGGTACGCTTTGGGTAACGCTAATGCCGGCGGTTTTGCGAAATTTCTGAAAATCGGTTCAAAATATTTTTTTCATAATTTCAAACGCTTTCTGCAATAAGAATGTAAAAAAAATCAAGAAAAAAATGTTTTTTTCATTTTTTTACAGATTATGAGCATTTAAATGCAAAAAAACGTGATCCTTTAATTTTTTTAAAAATTCAATCGAATGAGCTCAGCGAGAAATGGTCGTATCGAGATAAAAAAAAAATAAATTGAAGCTAAATGAACAACCTATCTAATCCATAAGGTGGTAAAGTTGGAAAAATGTTTTTCAAGTCCGTACACCAAAAATTAGATCGAAAAAAATTTCCAAAAATTTTTGTTCATGATATTCATTAAGATTGCGCGATACGTGTTCCTTGAAAAAATTTTTTTGCAAGATCTAAAAATTAGAAACTTCAAGCTTCAAATTGTTTCTTTTTTACTCCAGTACGACCATTTTTATCAAAGATACAGCCATTTGAAAATTCGCCGAAAATTTAGATTTTTTTTATCCCTTAATTTTTTCCACTAGTTTATATCCTAAACGGCTGCTACTATTAAAATACACCAAGAATCATTTTTCATTCATTTAACGTAACAGTACCTGAATGTAACATTATTTCTACAAGAAACCGCCAGTGGTGTATTTTTTTCTTGGGAAAATGGGGCGGCACTTCCAGTAGCACGCCACTGGTTAAAGCCACAAGGTTATTTCAATAAAAGGTCTAACTAAGTGAATACGCTGTACCAAAGGACCCCGCACTTTTCTTATGGGAAGTGGCTTTCGGCCAATTTTTTTTAAACTTCGCAGATTGATAGTTCTTAACATGTAGATCAAAAGTCTCAATCGGCACAAAGTCCCAAATCCACCTCTTCCCCCCCAAAATCTGCCTCCAAGTAGTGGGGGGGGGGGGATTTAACTGATTTCTGCATGTAAAACAATTTATTTTTTTAATCAACCCAATAACGACCCCAAAGAACCACATTTTTGACTATCAAACTACCCCACAGACCTCCCGCCCGCCACGAATCAGGATTTTCTAGATTACTGTATTTTATAGTTGCACGTATTTTTTTCACGCTGAATTCGAATCTGCAACTCAATTTAACGAAATCGTGTCAGGAAAATTGTTATTAACAATTTAATTATTTATGTAGCTGTAGAAAGTTTACTTGTCATTTTATGAAAAAATATTTCAAGTAAAAGTTATTTATTTTGACTAATCCAAAAAAAAAGTGTTTTTTCGAAAAAGTAATATTCAAGCTGTAAAACGAACTTAACACATGTGTATATCTGTAGCTATCATACGTATACTCTGTGTTAAACTTTGGTGGCGTTTTAAAGCTAGAACATTAATTTTTCGAAAAACACAAGAATAGTTTTTTTAGATTTCATTGAAATAAACAACTTTTATTTGAAACTTTTTTTCATAAAACGACAGTAAACTTCCCGCTACTTGGTGGCAGTTTTTGGGGGGGGAGGGGTGGATTTGTGGCTTTGTGCCCATTGAGACTTTTGATCTACATGTTAAGAACTATCAAGCCGCGAAGTTCAAAAAAATTGGCCGAAAGCCACTTCCCATAAGAAAAGTGCGGGGTCCTTTCATTTAATTCCGTCAGCGCATTATGAAGATATGGCTGAAAATATACAATCTTTTGTAAATTTTAACACCCTGTATCTCGAATACCGAGTCCCGCAGGAAAGCTTTATAGCAAACTCTACTTATTTTTCGGTAATAAATCTAGTCCTGTAATTTCTACATTTAAAGTGAAATCATCCTGTATATTAGTCAAGTTTATACACACACATTTTATACTACGCAATTTTGGCAGCAATGTGATTCCACTTGTAATTAAAAATAAAATTAATATCTGACTACTGGTTCACTATAAGTAGTATTGTTTTACTATTTACATCTACTATACTAAAAAAGTAATCGTCACATGTCAGCTTAAGGCTATTGGCATAGAATTCTAAAAAAAATGTAGAATAGGTAGTAATTATTTGTACCACTTTCGGAACGTATAAAACATACATCAAAGGCACAAATTTCTGAATAGACCGATAGTTTCCATGTGTATCAGATAAAACACGCATGAATAATACATTACACTGATATATAAACATTCGTCTGGAAAACTCAATGTATAACTTTTACATCTACTAATTGACAAATGAGTTGTTCGTATGAAAAAAATTACTTCAAAATAATATTTATGTTCTTAAATTAGAATGTAGTTAAGCTGTTAATCCCAGTCGATGGATTTTGGCAGAGAGGAAGTTGTGTAATATAAAGACGATAGGCTTTGGACATCCTTCCATATCTAATTCCTGAAAAATAAAAATTAAATAGTATCATAACCAATACAATATTTTTATACAGGGCGGCATTGAAAGTGGGATTTTCCTTATAACTGACATAAAAAGAGTGTTGATAAAACTAAAAGATATTTACATTTAATAGAATTATGTACTTTAAGGCCGGTTCTTGTTCGTCATGAGTCATGAACCTACAATAGGCAGTACACATGACATTCAATGTAGAACAGCATTTACAGTTCCAATTTGGAAGTTGTATGAAACGAGTCAGTGGCGTTTAAAAAATAAACTTTAGTACTTTCCTACTGATTACACGAACTTTAGAGTGTACCTAAATTAGATTGAGTTAGTGTTAGTTATTACAAAATACACTGAGTCCACGGATGGAGTTGAAATGAGGGAAATCTTTTTTAATTTTGATTTAACGAAAAAAGGGTCATTCTGTCTAAAAATTCTATTTGCGTTCAAATTTACAAAAATGTACAAACTATGGTGTTGGTGAAGTAAAATTTAGTTAAAAAAAACAAGAGAATATGTACAAAAACCAACATACCAGAACGGGAACAAATGGATAGGTATTAGAAACATGACACAATTAGAAGAAAAATTAAGTGTGGAATACGACTTTTTGAGAAAACGTACCTCCCTGTAAACCATTATTAAAAAACTTGGATTCAGGTGGAGAAAAACTAAAAACAATGGGCAGGTTGAACTATCTGGACAAAATTATAGGACCTAAGGTAGGCCAACTGTCTGTTTAGATAAAATTTATATTCACGTTGGCCATACCAACACTTTGCTATCAATCATATGTAGATTTTTTAAATCTGGAACGAAATCTGGCCACTACCACAACAACATGAACTCGCAATATTATGAGAAGTGGCTTACAGAGAAGTCGATTCCAAATCTCACCCCAAATTGTGTTGTTATAACTGATAATGCACCATATCACAATGTACAAGTACAGAAAGCACCTACGTGTAACTCAAGAAAAACAGCTATGGTAGATTGATTAATAAATAAAGATATACATTTTTCGTCGAATCTGCTTAAGCTGGATGAAATTATTACACATAATAAAAAAAAACATATTGTTTACAAATTCGATCGTCTACTCCAAGAAAATGGGCACATGGTTTGAAGCTCCCATCCTACCATCCTGATATAAATCCAATTGAAATGATATGGGCTCAAGTTAAAAACAAGGTAACAAAGAAAAATGATTTATTTAAAAATTACTTTGATAATTCTGACAGATGAAGAATTTTCATCAGTTACTGTCGAAGACTGGATAAAATGTAATGTAATAAATTAATACCTAACATTAGAAATTTAGAAATAGAAATAGAAATTTATTGTTACTTGAATCTGATGAAAAGCATTATTTATTCTTTCTTCTAACTACTCAGAATGTCAAAGTTGCTATCGCAGCCTACTATATAATTTTAAACCACATTCCGCACTTTATTCAAATACCGAAGTGTGTTTTCAGTTGGTTCTTTAAGTTTTACTCGAAAATCAGGCTTATTTCGAAAAACATAAAAGAAAATTGAAAGACGAATCCGAAAATATCATGATTCTTACCGTAAAGCAGTGGCGCACTATTTTAGAAAAATATGCCACCGATACCTCGTACCTCCGTTACTGAAGCATCTATTTTTTTTTAGAAATGGCATCGGTTACAAACCAAGAAAAATGTAAATGAATAAAAAAATATATTTACGAATACAAAAAGTAGTAATAAAAATGTATGTATTTCAGTAATTTTGTTATTAGGATAGTTTTTTTTAAAGAGCAGTAAAGCAAAATATGTAAATTTTAAAATGTTTCTTTCGAGAAGTTCCAAAAAAAATTTTTCGGAAACGAATTTTAGTACCTAAGTTGTTTTTCCAACATACTTAAACAATTAGATACTTACTACTTCAGATTCTTCGCCAGATCCAAAGTCTAACCATAGATAACGTTTACCGTCGTCTGAAGAATTTCTAAGCTTATCAAAAGAATATCTCCACAGTGTCCTAGAGCCAGTTCCTGCTTCAAGCAATGTAAATCCATTTTCATAATGAATGACTAACTGCGCAGGTCGTCCTTTCCAAATACACCCTAAATTATTAATATCTATATTATTATTATTGTCATTTCTATTAGTTTTAAGATATATGTATAATGCGTATATGAAATATTTGACCCCCAGTATCTCTTTTACTTTAACACCTCAAATTTTAATTTACTTGACAATATATTATTATTACAAGCTTTTATCTAACTTGCCTTGTTAGTATAGGTCAAATCATGCAACTAAATTTTAAAAGAGTTATCCCCAATTGATTGAGCTGAAATTTTGCACACGTTTAGTTTAGATGACAATGGGTGGTTAGCTAAGTGACGTCATTCTAAATCCAATATGACGGACCTTTTTTATACACCCCCATGATATGGGTATCAAATGAAAGGGTTTGCTGAGAAATATACGAAAATAACACGTCACTAAAAGCTTGTTTAAAAGAAATTGTACATGAATTTATTTCTGTACATGATATATCTTTTAAGAAATAGGTGAGTTAATTTATATATAAACTGTAATTTTTCAGTCGAGTTTTCAATTGATTAAGACTTCATTGATTGATATACATATATGCGAAGTCGTAGAAGGGCCACGTATAATTTTTTTTAAATTCAGAAAAGGTGTTTGAGAACTCAACAAACGCTTAAATACGGGGTTTAGTCAGAAAAGAATAATAATTACATTTCGCAAATAAGATTTTTAACTTACTTACAGCATACAGAAATTGTAAAAAATAAGTAAACTTTTATTTTAATTTAACAATATAAAAATAGTAGAACAATTTTTGGGTTGGTTGCCACGTCGTCAGTTTAAGTAAGTTTTGAGACATATCTTCCTCAGAAGTAACTCTGAAAGTTTTTGAGTTTTTGAAAAAAGCGATGTCTCTTGAAACGTCAATTAAATAATACCATTGTTGCAGTACTTCCGGTTAAACCGGAAGTCGTCATCTACTAGCTTATTTTAAACGGAACACCCTTTATATATTTGGATTCTACGCTTAATTTTAGGGGGACTTTTATCAAGCTTCCCTATATCTATCTCTAATTGTTTTCGAGATATTTCAATTCTATCTGGTTTTCGATAGTCTGATCAAAATTGTCCATTTTTTACATCGTGCAATCTGAAATATTGATATGTGGGAGGGAGATAGGGCGACGCCTATCATTTATTACAATTACTTTAAAAACTGTTTAATTTTACACAGGGTGGTGAAAATTTATTGCCGAATTTGCTTAACTTCAAACTCCGAAAACTTGGTTTTTCTAAATGGAACATCTATCCATATTACACTTCCCTATACATATCTCTTTTAGTTTTTCTATTATTGGAGAATGACTGTCAAATTGCTTATTAAAAGATTTTTCTGACTGCAGGAACCATTATCAACAGCACAGACCAAGGATATGGACGTCTGGGCCCGTTAGCAAGGGAAAGCTCCGGATCGATGTTATTCCAAATCGCCGCACCTACGGCTTATTCTTTCCAGACGAATGTGTTCCTTGTCAATCTCGCGCAGCCCTGCCTGAGTGAGAAATGCAAACTTATTTGTGTTGGTCTATACCATAATACTTATTATCTATATACTGGTAGCCGGCTATATGCCCCCTGTGTACGGAATTGTCCGGAGAGAAGGAGATACTTTTCTGTCTCTCCCGTGGCATTAGAACCCAATGCGCATACCCCGCACACAAAATCATGAACGAGTGGAGAGAACAAAACGGCTGTGGTCTACTACGGATTGCCCACTGCTTAGATTGTGACATTCTACTTATTGTATCTAGCGAAATTGTCACATTCTCGCATCGGCATCTGCTTCTAACGCATGCGCACCATTCCCTGTTTACTCAGCAAGGGCAGAGCGATGAGGCTTTCCTTCCGGTCAAGATCCAAACAAAACTCATAGTATATAGATAGTATGTATATGGTCTATACCAGGAATCGTAACCAACCAGTTCTAAAGTTATCATTCGAGGTTTTCAGGTTTATACCTGTGCGGACCGGTGGGTTTGCGTGCAAATAGTACGAGAATTACACGCAACTACACAGGTTCATTACAACTATTTTGGAGAAAAAATCAACTTAATGTTTTGTGACACGTCTTCCGATCCGAAACCGATACAATTAATGTGATTAAAACTATTTAATTTTTATTTAAATCCCAAATAAAAAAGTTATGGCCAATTATGTAGTTTTCTTTGTGATGAATATTTTGATTACTTTTTCTGTAGGAGCAGTTTGTGTACTAAATTTGAAAACGATTGCTTAACCGAAAAATAGTTAATTGTACATAGGCTGTTACAAATTGAGATCTCGGAAACAGTAAGAGATACGAAGTAGCTTAAATGAAGGCAAAGTTGAGTAATCAGCAACATTATTATGCCTCTAAAAAATCAAGCGTAACATAATTAGTTTACGGAATATTTGAAAAAAAACTAAATTTTGGAAAGCCGTTTTTGTTTCATTTCAGCCTTGTTTGAGGTGATATTGAAAAAAGGCTTTCTCATGGCAACTTTTTGCCCTCTATCGAATGGCATGATCAATTTTTATATGTAACGTTTCGTCTCGCCAGGACCATCATCAACTTCATTTTTTTAAATAAGACCTTATTACATTATTTGCAAGCCTTCATGACCCCCAATACTGTACTGTCTCAGCTCAACCAGGTTCAGACGTTTTATCTCGAAATATTGGTCCTCAATGTGTTCGTTCCAAATTCTAAATTTTTTGTTTAGATTTCTGTGTTTATTGAATTGTCGTACACTCTCAGTGTCATTAGACCCTGTGAAATTCACCTAGTTATTTAAACTATTACCATCACACGTTACAATAAAACATTATAATTTTAATCCCCATCAACCGCAAATGTGAAAGAGCATGTCAGATGTATTTGTATGAATATCTTGAAAAAAATTAGATCGAAATTTGTTTCAATTTTGAGCACTCGAGAAACCTAGAAATAACTATGAGCACGGGATTAAATCTCTAATAATGTTTTATTGTAACGTGTGATGGTAATAGTTTAAATAACTAGGTGGATTTCACAGGGTCTAACGACACTTAGAGTGTACGAAATTCAATAAACATAGAAATCTAAAAAAAATTAGATAAATTTTGAACGAATACATTGAAGATGAATTTTTCGAGACAAAATGTCTGAACCTGGTTCGGGCTGAGGTAGTAAAGTATTGGGGGTTATGAAGGCTTGCAAAAAATGTTATAAAATTTCCAGGGTCGTATTTAAAAAAATTAAGTCGATGATAGTCCTGGAGAGACAAAACGTTAGCTATAAAAATTGAATATGCCATTGGATAGAGGACAAAAAGTTGCCATGAGAAAGTGTTCTTCTTTTTTCAATATCACCCCAAACAAGAAACAAAAACGGATTTCCGAAATTTCGTTTTTTTTTTAATATTTCGAAAATCATCATGTTACCCTTGATTTTTTAGAGGTTAATGTTGGTCTCCTGATTACGCAACTTTGACCCCATTTCGTATCTCTTACCGTTTCCGAGATTCCGTAAAATTTTACGATCAGATTGCTATTAAGGTTCTTCTTTAGAATGACCTTTAAAGGTCATTTCAAGTACAAAATATTTAAATTATGCACCTGAGTATTTCGCCAGGAAAGACACCAACCCGAAAATAACCCTTCCGAAAGAAGTTGGGTTCGGATAGGGACATCGGATGGTGGCTTTCAATTTGACGTTGAAGTTCAAGGTCATTTGAAGGTCAAATCTAACCCAGATTCGGAAACAGCGTTTAAGAAGGTACTTGTTTTACTCCGCTAATATTGATTTTTTTAAAAGTGCCACAAGAAGTTGTATTATAATTTTTATGAGAAGAACTTTCTGTATTTATTTTCGAACCTATGTCGCATAAGATTTGTTTGTTTAATTTGTTACTACTTACTGAACATATCTCGAATACCCTGCATATCGATATAGAAACTAAAGGGCATCTTTTAATCCCAAAGATGAAGTTTACCTTCAAAATTTATTTAATTACCCCTCCCCCACTACACTAGTTACTTGCGTAAAACGTTACTTACTGCACACAAGCTCCCTCTGTGTGACCGCACTTGCATGGCTACCATTAACCAGCGCTTTTGCCCATCCAGCTAAATCTCTGTGCGTTTCAGCTCGTAGGCTGTGCGTAATAACTCCTTCCACCGTGGCACACCTTATACTGAATTCCGGCAATTCAGCACGTTTTCCAGATCCTACAAGTCGCGTCGCTATTAATGAATAAGCTTCAGCGGGCGCTCTCCATGCGTCTCCAGACCAAGGGGCACTCTCGTAAAATCTAAGTTCACTGTCTGTCACCGCGGCGAATACAGACTGCCACCGGTCCATGTCGTCGGAACTCTCAGAACTCGACATATTGTTCTGAAATTAATAGCTGAATAAATAATCCCAGTAAAATATTAAAAACAAATAATTTTTCCTATTATAATTCTCCCTTCTACAAAAATAAATAATTTATATGTATTTTTTAAATAAATAATACAAGGTGCCGTTTTCTGTTTGCATGCATGAAAAAACTTTTAAGTTTTATTAAAAATATGGCATTTTTTCGTAATTTTACAATTGATTTCTGGTCAAAATACTTTAATTTATTATGTAATTACTAATTAGGTACAATTTGTCAGTAAAATTTGAGCAAGTTTTTCGTTCTACCCTTTATAAACACATTCATCATTTTATTGTTTACGAATCAAGAATGTAATATAATTTTACTTTAATTGACAAATGTAAGCGAAATACCTCCATTCGAGGTCTCCTCAATAACCAGCCTATATGCCTAAGATCTGGGATTGCTCTGGAAGCTTCGTGGAGGGCGGCAGTTGTTAGGACGGCTAATGCTGAATGAAGCGTGTTGAACCAAGCTGCAGCTTCCGCCGGATCAGCAGCTCGTAGAACACAGCTGTGTACTGCATCTGGCGAATGCAATTCCAATGTTCGACCCTCTGAAAATAAAATGTTCATATAAAAAATATTATTAATTGTCACAGCTAATCTGATATCAATGTCCTATAGGGTATTTAGGGATGGAAATCTGTTTTTAGTTAGGGGAAAAAAAATAAAGTGTTTTAGCTTGTATACAGGGTGTTTCAGTTCGAGTGAATCAAATTTTAACCACAGATAGAACTCGATAAGTAATTAAGAATTGCCTTATAAACCAAGGTTCTATGTCTCACCGTTTTCGCTCTACAGGGCCGTATTGGTCGGTTTTTTACATCATATTATTTATGATATCTCTGGTATGGTTGTAACAATTTGATTCAAATCTGGTATGATGTTAATACTTACGAATGTCTATAATTTACTGCAAAATTTACAAATTTTTTGTAGGTCAGTGGCGTAGAAACGGGTAGGGTAGCGGGATTTTTTTGCCCCAACTTCTACGCCAATGACCTAATACTTATTTGGGGTAAATTTTTAGATTCCTTGGACAATTTGGCATAATACTTGTTTGAAATCGGTAAAGTGTCTCGTTCTGCCGAAAATCTCAATAATGTGGGAGGCCGTTCTTCTGATAAAGCATTTAGTTTCGTAATGATAGCAAATACATTTCAAAGTAATATTACTTTAATATTATGTATTAAATTAAAATGGAACGTTTCATGTAAAAATGTTAACAGCAAACAATGAAATATTCTTTTTCTTATTGCTGTATCTTAGATGCTAATAATAGGTAATAGTTTGTAGGTACGGTTTTTACAATTTTAAGTAATAATACAAAACGGTAAATAACAACATAACAAATAACACTAACATAAAACAATATTAAATAACATGTTCAAAATGACCCCCATTGGCTCTTATACATGCTCTGCATCGCCGAACCAACGACTGATAGACATCAAACATAATCCCTTCTGTATTATTTATTGCATCTGCAGCATCGTGGATTCTTTCTCTGAGATCATTTTCATCTTGCGCGACAGTGCGGTAAACAAGCTGTTTTATATGACCCCATACAAAAAAATCAATTGGATTAAGGTCTGGGGATCGCGGTGGCCAATGTATTGGTCCTCTATTTCCTATCCACCTATGTCCATAGTTTTCCGTTAACCATGCACTAACATCTCTTGCATTGTGCGGAGGTGCACCATCCTGTTGGAAATAAACGTATTGTCTTTCATTTAATGGCACCTCGTCTAGAATTTCATGTGTGGAATTCTGTAGCAATTCTAAATATCTTTGCCCATTCAGTATACCATTTATTTCAAAAAGAAATAATTTGTTTCGAAAAATTACTCCCCACATATTAATCTTAAATCTGCGCTGAAAGGCCCTTCTTCTTGTTAAATGGGGATTTTGTAATGACCATTGATGTAAGTTTCTAAAATTATTCAGTCCATTTTTAGGAAAAAGGCTTTCATCGCTCCAAATAATATTTTGTAAAAAGAGTGGATCTTCCGTCAAATTTTGGAGGATCCAGTTGCAAAATTGTAATCGTTGAAGGTTGTCACCTTCTTGTAAATGTTGCACTTGCTGGTAATGATATGGATGTAGCAGCTCTTGATGAAGGACCCTCCATACAGATACGTGGGGTATCTGTAATTCGCGTCCGATTTGTCTCACACTCAATTCAGGAGTATCAACTACCCGTTCGATAATATTTTCCTCGTACTGTTGAATATTACGATATCCTCTACCTTCTTGATTTTTTCTTACTTGCACAGAACCTGTTTGTCGCAGTCTTCTAAAGGTTCTTATAAATACGCCAAAAGAGGGATGACGCCGACGATTTGGAAACATTCTCCGATATTCTCTTTCTGCTTCTCGAGCACGACCATGACAATATCCGTACACAAAAATCATATCAGCGTATTCTTCACTTGAATATTCATCCATATTTTGACAAATGGTAAGTACTGTTGCAAATCTTTATAATTAAATAACAATTCCTGATGACAGATAATGTCATTATTGTTATGTTTTGCATAGCAATCTTTGTGAATACATACTCCCAAAGCGCAGACTTACAATATGAGCCTCACATCAATTGTCAATGAGGGGTGTAATTTTTTTAAACAAATTATATCTAATTTGACATAAATGAAACGTTAAATTAGCAAAAATACTTATAATTGTTTCAGAATAGCATAAATGAAATGTAAAGGAGGTATCATTGAATGTGTACCGCAACTGTAGTGCAACATAAAACAGAGCTCAGAAAGGAAACTCACCAGACTATAAATGCTATAAAAATAATACACGAAGTGTAGAGACGTATTGTTTAATATTGTTTTCAACCGTAATTTAATAACTGCTAAACTGAACTAAACTTGATTCCTTATCAGAAAAACGGCCTCCCACATTATTGAGATTTTCGGCAGAACGAGACACTTTCCCGATTTCAAACAAGTATTATGCCAAATTGTCCAAGGAATCTAAAAATTTACCACAAATAAGTATTAGGTCATTGGCGTAGAAGTTGGGGCAAAAAAATCCCGCTACCCTACCCGTTTCTACGCCACTGACCTACAAAAAATTTTGTAAATTTTGTAGTAAATTATAGACATTCGTAAGTATTAACATCATACCAGATTTGAATCAAATTGTTGCAACCATACCAGAGATATCATAAATAATATGATGTAAAAAACCGACCAATACGGCCCTGTAGAGCGAAAATGGTGAGACATAGAACCTTGGTTTATAAGGCAATTCTTAATTACTTATCGAGTTCTATCTGTGGTTAAAATTTGATTCACTCGAACTGAAACACCCTGTATATTGCTAAATGCTCGTCTAAAAATGTATCTTTATTATTTTATTATTATTACAAATCGCACAACGAATTTTCTATTTAAAAAGTCATTAGTAAATCTTACAGTAAATTCGAATTTTCGTTAATACAATGGGCTCTAGATATCTTTGCGTCATCTTGGAAAATAGCCGTTATGATTCTTAGCAAACCCTTTAAATGAATTGTGCCTTCACGCGGATGGGGATGCATATTTCAAAATTAAAGATGTAATTCCCTTATTGTAAGAAAAATGACCAAAACGCCGCTAAAATTCCTTTCAGGCTTTGTTTTTTATACTCGTGACATCAAATAAATTTTCTTCTAATGGGCTTTATTAAATAAACCTATTTTTCGTTATTTATTCGTTTGGAGTCATTTTATTGTCAGTACTACACATAAAAAGTAAACTGAAAGCATAAAGGCACCATGTAAATTGATAAATTAGAAAATTGAATGTGTTTCCATTAATTTTGCTTAGTTTATGAAATAAAAAGTCGCTCACATTTAAGAAATTAAAATGTCTTTATATTTTCTTGATTAAAATACTAAACTAACTAAAGTTGCTTGCACTTCTTATTACTTGACTTAATTTCAAAGGAACGACAATTTTGTATAGGTCCTATCAAAAAATATGTGAAAAAGTAAAGCTATTTTATATTTAACTTGTGGAAGCAAATTTGATAATACTTCATTTTAAATTAAATTGAGCTTAAATCTATCCAGTGTCCGGTTTTCATTGTTGAGCAATATTTTAAAAATAATGACGGTTTGGCAGCTACAGTTCGTAACTTTTATAACGAGCGTTCAAATAAAAACGTGGTCGAAGTTGGCGACCAACTTAACCTCATTTCTCAACGAGCTGTATAGCAGCTGTCAGTTTCAATAACGTTAATGACTATATAACTTTATTTTAAAGAATAATCGTGATAACAATAACAAACAATTAAAGGAGCTGCGGAAAGTGTCCCCCTCCTTGTTATAACAATAAATTAAAGCAGCTGCTGAAAGTGTCCCCCTCCTTGTTCCAAGCACTTTTCACACCTGTTCCTCAAAGAATTAAAGACATTTTCTAATATGCTCGGGGTATTGTTAATTTCACGAATTTTGTCTATAAGTCGAGCCTGCAGACGGTTTAAATCAGGAATAGGCAGTTCAAAAATAGTGTTTTTAAGGTAAGGCCACAAAAAGAAATCACACAGCGTAATATCACATGACCTCGGTGGAAATTCATGTTGAGCATTGAGACTTATTAGTCGATTTTGGAAAACTTCCCTCAACATATTCATCGTCTCGCCTGCTGTATGTCCCTTGCGCCATCTTGTTGAAAGTAAAAGTTTGTAATTTCGTTTTCTTCCAGCTGGTTAACAAAAGGAGCGATAATTTCTTCTCTATACCTTTGCGCAGTAAGAGTACCATTAAAAAAAATAGGTCCATAAATCCTCCTTCGATTGAGAGCACACCAAACTCCAATTTTTTGAGCGTGTAGAGGGCCCTCGACAAAAAAGTTATCTGGTTTTTCAGAAGACCACATTCTCATATTCTGTGAGTTTACGTAACCACTTAAATGAAACCAGGCTTCATCAGAAAAAAGGTGATATTGTGAAGTTCACCGTAGTTGTTTAAAAACCATTCACAAAATACAGCCCGTCGCGGAAAATCAACTTCATGAAGTTCTTGCTGACAAGTTAAACGATAGGAGAACAAACGCAAATCTTTTTTTAACACTGTGTGGCAGGTACCGACTGATACTCCCACCATTTGTGATAAAACACGTACAGAAGTTCTTTGGACATTTTCTTTTAATTCTTCAGTCCGCTTTTTAGGTCGGCCGCTTCCTTCTTTTCTTGTTACACTGCCCGTTTCACGAAAAACATTATTTATTATTTACTTTAGACCGGGCCGTCAAACATTTTATTTAGTAAATAGGATTTTAATTGACTAGAAATTAAAAAGGCCGAAGGATAGGCTTACACTGCTTGATATCTAAGCATCCCTTCAAAACATGTAACAGGGTATTCCAGAAAAAAATTCTTATTGATAGCCACTCTTAACAATTTATAAGGAAATAAAAATAAAGATTATAGATTTATTAATTACAATAGTTAATGTGAACTATCGACGTATTAATTTATGAAACTAAACTACCTAAAAAATATTAACTGTGCAACTTATATTTTAATCCTTTTTTGCAAAACTAGATGATACAGA